GTGAAGGAAAAAAACAGAGTTAATGTTTCGGGTCCAGTGACCCTTCCTCAGAACACAGCGGACAACACCGCTCAGAACAACACCGGACCTGAAAAGTTAACTCTGTTTTTTCCTTCACGGATGCTGCCAGACCTGCTGAGCTTCTCCAGCAACTTTGTTTTTGTTCCTAACTTTTGAACTAGTTCAGCTAGTGCTCTTATCCAAAACAAAAGAGTAATAGAGTCATAAGGACACACAGCACAAAACAGACCTTTCTGTTCAACTCGTCCATGCCAACTGGATATCCTATATAAATCTAAACCCATTTGCCAGCATTTGGCCCATATCCCTCTTAAAAACTTCCTATTCATATACCCATCCAGATGGCTTTTAAATGTCGTGATTGTACTAGCCTCCACCACTTCCTCTGGCAGCTCATTCCATACACGCACCACCCTATGTGTGAAAAAGTTGCCCCTTAGGTCCCTTTTATATCTTTCCCGTCTCACCTTAAACCTTTGCTGTCTAGTTTTGGACTCCCTGACCCTGGGGAAGAGACTTTGTCTATTTATAATCCATGCCCTTCATGATTTTATAAACCTCTATAAGGTCACCCCTCAGTCTCTGACAATCCAGGGATTACAGAAATATCTGGATTTCTTTAGGAAGCAAAGACTTCTAGTTACTTTTGCTCATGCTTCAGCTAATTTGAAGTGTTTTCTATTTTAATTAAAACACATGATATAGAAATGATGGGATTGAAAGTGAGAGCTGAGAAGGAGAAAGATAAGAAGGGTCACAGCAGGAAAAAAATTGGTTACAGTTTGGTAAATGTCGAACTTACTGTCTCTGCTCCACAAAAGGTTTTCTTTAAATATTATTATTGTTTTAGTTATATGCTGCTTTATCTGCATTCTCATTTACAGAAATATTGTACTGAAAATACAGTCAAAGAGAATAGCATTGGACTACTTAATAGTTTATGCAATGAAACATAACAATTATGAACCAAGTGACCTGGAATTCTTTGTACTCTATTTTTAAAAATTGCAGCTTACAAGTTGGATAATGTTAACCTTAAAGGATACGCAGCTACATCCCTTCTGGACAGTTTCGAATGGGTCAATGGTTATACTTTTCAATTTGGACTGCATCATGTCAACTTCAAAGATCCTAACAGACAAAGAACTCCCAAGAGGTCAGCACATTATTATTCAGAAATAATTCACGGCAATGGCTTCCCGCCTCAGAAAGAAGATGAGTTCATTTATGGAGAATTTCCAAAGGATTTTGCATGGAGTGCAGCTACTGCTGCCTATCAGGTTAGTTTTTAAACTAGCTGCATACTTTGAGTTTTATAGGCCTGTGCCACATAATTGATATTTTACCATGATCATAGTGTTTATGCACAGAAATAACACATGTTTATGTTTATTTTCTATGAGTTTTAATCAGAAATTGGCCACCATTTCTATTAACCACACTGTGAAATAAAATATCTGAACAGCAAGAATAAGGGAGATGTCAGAGGTAGGTTCTTCACACAGAGAGTGGTGAGCGTGTGGAATGCACTGCCGGCAGTGATAGTGGAGTCAGATACTTTAGAGACTTTTAAGCGACTCTTGAATAGGCACATGGAGGATAGTAAAATGTAGGGTATGCAGAGTAGATTGAGCTTAGTAAGATAATAGGTCGGCACATCATCGTGGGCTGAAGGGCCTGTACTGTGCTGTACTGTTCTATGTTCTATGTTCTAGTACATTTACTAAGTGAAGAAAATTTGGGAGAAAAATGACTTGGATTTTGCCGTCATCAGTGATTTCAAAAGGGATCGCCGGACATTCAGCAACAGTGATGGCTGCTTACTGTGCTTGCTGTTCTCACAGACAGCAGCCAGGAAAGTAAAAGCACTGAAGCCCTTCACTTTCAATTTAAACTTTCAGATGGTGGCATAACTGATTGAGTTGTTTAAAATAGATGTCGAAATGTTGAAACAAACTTGTAAAGAACTATATACTATATGGAATTTTTCATCATAATAGAGACATTTTCAATTTTGAATATAAAATTAGTTTTATCAGACTGAGTAAATATGTTTAATTATGAAGCTAGTGTTCTGTTAAAAACTGGTTATGTTTCATTCAACAAGGTGTAACTTTTTGAAACATTTTTATGGCAGTAGTAACAGTATAAGAATGAAAGTTGTTTTGGGATTTCACACTGGGGGACCTCAACATCACACCTTCTGGAAAAGTATGAAATCAACAATAGCAATATGTAGATTTCTGTATTATTTGTGCATACATGTGCTGACTCTGAAACATTGGAAGAATGGCTGTGAACACCAATAGTATTGCTTTCATAACCACTAGACTAATATGTATAAAACTATTCTAATTCTTATATTGGTGAGCCATGTGATATTACATTCTGACTTCCCAAATGTCACACCATTGTTACTATAAGTTTATAAGATCATAAGAAATAAGGGCAGACATAGGCCATTCAGCCCCTTGAACCTCCTCTGCCATTCAATAAGGTCAAAGGTGATTTGATTGCAGCCTTGAGACTACTTGCTTGCTAACTATGCCTTGACGCTCTTGTCAATTAGAAATGTGTCCAATAAACCTCAAAATACTCAATAACCCAACCTCTACTGTTCTCCGAGGTAGATAATTCTAAAGATTATCAGACCCTTGAGAGAAGAAATTCCTCCTCATTTTAATCTGAAATGGGAGACTTCTTATTTTGAAATTGTGCCCCTAACATTATCTATTATATAGCATTATCTATACTGTCATCCATTGCTGTAATTCAGCTCCTACTTGTCTGTAACAGTTGTGATGTTTTCTTCAGAAAATTGTGATCTGAAATCTTTCTATCATCTATATTTGTCAGTCATGTCACGGGCTCTTTACAACAATAATATAGAATAGCTCCAACATCATTGACAACATACATAAGCTGTTGTAAAAGGAAGATATCTGCACTAGTTTACTAGCAGTGCAGATGAAGTGGCTATGAAAGCAGTTGTTGCACACTGCCCTAACCTACATGACAACCTCTGCTCAAATGAAAGAAAACATTTAAGACTGAAAGTGCATGTCACACTCACTGACTGATTGTGCCTGTTTGTGTGGAACATTATAACTTGTGATACAGTCCTACCACTGACTTTCTTGGCAATATCTGGTAAATTCACCTTTTCCAAAGTGTGAATATTGATAGCTGGTGGGTACGGACACCCTGGACTTTTATTAATTATTCTTTCAATTTTGAACCAAATACTTAAGTATCTGTACCTAAGTATCTTGTACCTATCCTGGTATGTAAGCAGCAACATTGCAAACTTCTCACTATGCTCATTCAAGTGCACATGACAATAAAGCTCTGTCTCACTTATAAAGAGAGTGGAATTCTATAGAAATTATTTTCATAATTTAGCAAAAACACTGACAAGCTACCCTTGAAACAATTAGTTTGTCTTTCCCAATCAAATTATATCAATTCACCTAAATTCAGCAATTGTTTGGCAATTCTGGCTTGTTGCTTCAATGAATTAATGCAGATACAACATAAGCAATAGAAAGCAGTAAGGACAACAGTGGTGCCATGTCACGTTATTTTATTAAGAATTCCTTGTATAATTCAGAACACCATCATGAAAAGAATGTTATTGGTAGAAATTTATCATATTTCATAGATGCTTATACATGAGCATTGCTGCTGAGTTGATTAGTAAAGCCAGTGTTGCAAAATATATTTTCTACCACTAGATGTTGCTAGTGCACTATACTCATAATAGAAACCAATTAATGACAACAACTTCACCCTCTAGTTATTTTGAATCAACCTTTTAGTTTATGTTATGATGTACTTTCGGCATGAATGGAACTTGAACCTAAACCATCTTGTTCAGAGGCTGGAACAGCACCCCTGTGCCCCAGGAGCCTTCTGAGTTTGCCCTCAATGCTTGCAAAGGAAACACAAAGGACGAAGATTGTTATGATGTTCAATATTTGCAGAAGACATAATATTAAGCAAATGTTTAAGGAAATGAATAAATTGTATATTTATTTTATTTAATTGACCATAGATTGAAGGAGCTTGGAGAGCTGACGGAAAAGGACTTAGTATATGGGATACCTTTAGTCATACGCCCTTGAAAGTAGGCAATGATGATACTGGAGATATAGCCTGCGATAGCTATCACAAGATTGATGAAGATTTGGCTATTCTGAAACAACTGAAAGTCAACCACTATCGCTTTTCCCTATCCTGGTCTCGCATCCTTCCAAAGGGAACCACAAGATATGTAAATGATGTTGGATTAAATTATTATATAAAGTTTATAGATGGTCTTCTTGCAGCCAACATTAAACCTCAGGTATGTATGACTAATCAACAAAACTATATTCGTTAGTAAATAATGCATTAAGGATCATTTCAGCTAAACACAAAATACAGCTATTTATACTCAAAGCATTAACAAGATAACATACATCTTTAGTTTGGCAATTTTATTTTAACATTCCTCAGTTTACACTGTACCTTAAAGGTTACCCGCACTCTGTTGAAAATAGATATTTTTGAGCATTCTTCGGGACTCATTTTCTTAAGGTAATGAATAGTTAAATTAGACTAGGCACCAGGCTTATTCCCTGTCTACTCATAATAAATGGAACTTAGCTGGGGCAATGATCATTTAGTGAGGGGTGAGTCGTTCATGTTCCTGATCAACAACCCTGCTGGAGAGTGCCTGTGTGTAGCTAGCACAAGAAGGCTGTCATTTTAATGATCCATCGTGTATTGGGGTTACTTTATAATAAGACATTAAACACATTACAAGTTGCGAAGCTGACATCACAGCAAGCCAACTGATTTCTGTGCGTGTAGCTTGCAAACACACAGCAGACTAACTGCCAGGCAGGGTCACATCATTGCATACACACAGCACCTAGATCCTTTAAAGTGAACTCACTTAAAGGCAAGGTACACAATATAACCAGGGCAGCAGCAGGAACAAAAGTCATGAACTGTGTGCACAAATTGGCCAGCAGCTGTCACCGTTTACACAAGAAACATGGCAAGGTTTTGGTTTGGAGCAGAAGTGGACATTGATGTCTCAGAACCAGAACCCAATAAGAACTTCTTCAGAAAAGTAGGAAGAACATTGAAAAGAGCGAAGCGTAGAAGTTAATTCTCAGATAAGCACATTTTAGCCATTGATGAAATGGTGTTAAATTTAATAACTAACAATTTGTCATTGTATTTTTCTCTTGCTTGCAACAGGCTTTTAAATTAGAATAAATGAAGTCACTTAGTAAGCTTAGTAATGATTAACATGATACAAGAGCATTCATCAAGGATTAACTATCTTTTAAAGAATTTTAAAAGATTGTAGGACTTCTTAAAAACTTTGTAGTTATTAAAATGATTGATTTTATAATTCATTTGTTGACAGAGGCAATACATTATTTAACATTTTCTGGATTTTGAAATCTGTAGTTGTATGTTGCTGTAAGAAGATTAGACGAGTGTTTTGAGCATAAAGATTGAGGTATCAAATGTCCTTTTAAAAATCTGTTGTCACTTTATCAAGTGCATACTCTAGTTTATGCTTCTTATTTTCTGGTTATCTATAGGTCACCCTTTATCACTGGGATTTACCTCAGGCTCTGCAAGATGTTGGTGGCTGGGAAAATAGTAGTACCATTGACCGATTTGTGGAATATGCAAACTTTTGCTTTCAAAGATTAGGTGACAAGGTCAAGTTCTGGATAACCTTGAATGAGCCTTACAACACAGCACTTCTTGGTTATGGCTATGGCACTGCAGCACCAGGTATTATATGTGGTACAGGTGCTCTTTTTCAGTCCTTACGCACGAGTATCATGCATGTACAAACACTTAGAAGCAAGTATTGTAGATTTGTATTTAACGCCTTACAGATGCATGTGAACAATGATTTTCGCAAAATATTATTTTTGCAAGTTGTCTTTGCACCTCACCCCTTTTCGTCGATGTGATTTCATTGACCTCAAGCCAGAAATTTTGTTAGACCATTTAGACTTGCATATCTAAACCTATGATCAAACAAAAACTTCAAGCATCTGATTGAATCATTCATATATGGATTATAGTTCCAGACGTGAGAATATTATAGAGTTTAGGCTACGTATGCCAGTGCAGTGACAGAGTCTGTTTGATATGTTTAAGGTATGCAGATGGGGCCGGTTAGCTCAGTTGGACGGCATGTGATTCAGAACAGTGCCAGCAGTGCAGGATTCAATCCATTCCAACTGAGGTAGATTTAAGGCCTGCCTCCTTCTCTCCCCTGTAATAAATTCACAGCATTAGCTGTGGTTCTGTGACTGTTGAATAATCAAGGATGCTGACTGGAGAAGGTAAAATCTAGATGTACTAGGTGCATTTGAATAAAAAGAATGCCCTACTAGGTCTCAAATCCATAACCTTCTGATTCAAACATCAGTTCACACTTGCATGTCACCCAGCCAAATGTTTTGCAATTTACTTTAAATCTTCCTGGGAAAATGGATGCCAATCGGACATAGAACAACCAACGGAATTCTGATGGAAGTCTTTAGACTCAAGAGAGATCAGGATAGAGTAGAAAGAGTGAGACTGTTCCTGCTGGTACAAGGTGCAAGGAGAGGGCACAGATTAAAAATGATTTTTGAAATAAGCAAATGTAATTGAAATAACACGTCAGAAGCCAGCATTCCTTCACCAATCACTCTTTATTTACAGATGCGTAGCCTTTGACAATAGCACAGTCTGTCACTGAGGTCAGGCATTCAGGGTGCCTAATGTCCCTGACATTCATCCCTTCATGTTAGTGAGGTCTCTGTAATTGGACCAGGTTAACAACCCAAATCAGGGAACTCATATTCTATGAGGTCCTGCTGGGTAACCTCATTTACAATCACTACAGTAATGTGAGAGTAAGCTTTTTCAAGCAACAGGTGGTTCTGGTCTGGAATACAGTGCTTGGAAGTGTGTTGGAATCAGGGTCAATCGAGATTTCAAGATGACATTAGATAATTATTTGAATAGAAACAATGTTCAAGAGTATGGGGAAGAGGCAGGTGGGAGGCACTAAGTAATGACACTCATTTAACAATCTGGTGCAGGCATGATAGGCTGAATGGCCTCTTTCTATGCTGTTAAGTTGTTATTCTATGATGTATATAATGACATCAATTTTAACCCTTCAGGTGGGAATCCCATGGGATTGTTTGGAATCCTACACACATCATAATGGTAACTTCAATACAGGGTAAAACCTGGCAGTGTAAAACTATTATTGCATGCAAATCCCATCTGTTTTTCCGTGAGCAAGCTAAATACATTTGCTCCCATAAATCTCCAATACTGTGAGGAAACATTAATTTTTGTCTCAGACTTCCAGCATCCACAGTTCTTTTATTTTAAATATTTATTAGCAGTTTTATTAATAGCCTTAGTTACTATCCTGGTAAAACATTAAAATAATTAATATGGAGGTGATATTGATGCATTATATATTTAATTACACTACGATTCTGACTAGCCTACTCTTTTATTCTGAAAAAGTACGATTTTTAAAAAATTAATAAACCACTATGTTGTGTGTTTTAAGGTATTGGCACAAGATTAGGCAGTGCACCTTATATAGTTGGTCACAATCTAATCAAAGCACATGCTGAAGTTTGGCACTTGTACAATGAAACTTACAGACCACAACAGGGAGGGCTAATCTCCATTACTATCAACTCTGACTGGGTTGAGCCAAGGAACCCATATAAACAGGAAGATGTAGATGCTGCAAAAAGGCATTTGATGGTAAGAAACAATTCATTTTGATTTACATTTTATTTAGTTAATTAAGTTGGACTCCATTTAAAAAAAGGGGAATATAAATAAACCTCTTCCTGCTCCTGATTGTTGTTAAGTGACTTCCTTTGGAGGGTCTGTATGTGAACAATGAGTTAGATCTTATGGCCACTGGTGAACTAATACAAATGCACTGTCCCCAGACTTTATATGGGCATTTACAAGTGTGCTTCTTGTCAGTTAATTGTCCAGAAAGCGTGATATCCTTTATAGAACATCTGGAACCTGTAAAGAAGGGGTCCAACTGATCCACTGAGATGGTCAAAGTCCACAATATTTCAGTGTTTCTATCCACTCTTATACAACACTTCAATAAAAATTAGGCACGTTAAATGATTTTGAAGGAATAGGGCACAACCTATGTAATAAAAGCACCTTGTACAGTTACTTAAACATTGGACAGGAAGATTTCCCATATTTCATTTATAAGTTAGTGACTTGATATGAATTGAATAACACTGGAAGAAATGCAAAAGAGTTCGGACACGGTTGAAGTGTAGTTTTACGTTCTTTGTCCTTTTAGTTTTATGGTGGTTGGTTTGCATATCCAATTTTCAAAAATGGTGACTACAATGAAGTGATGAAAGCACGTGTGAGAGAGAAGAGTTTGGCTCAAGGTTTACCTAAATCTCGGTAAGTAATATAAACTTTCCAATGACTGAAGCGTCGAAAGTGGTTGTGCAAATCTAGATTACAACAAATGACTTTGATTTGTCCATTGGCAAAAAGTATTTAGAAATTTTCTATGAATAACCAGCATATTGTTTTCCTTTTTGTTTATAAATCAATATTTCCTTTAAAATTAATGCAGTTATTACAGAATGATGCAAATCTTGTGGTAGCTGTTAAAGTTGCAATTGAAAATTTAGTTATCCAGTGAAATAATTTAATGACATTGCTGGACTTGTGCGCTGAATTAATGGCTCAGATGAAAGACTGAGTAGAATTTCAGTTAGTTTCTGAGAAAGTAATCACTAGGATAAAGATACCCTGCACTTTCCCAGCACTTGGGGAATTGGGTTCAGTTAACACGTAAGCGGAAAATGGGCTAGATATCAATCAGATCTTGTTGTCGCTGTATGATCTCAGGATTCCTGGGTTTGCCCAAAATATCTGTAACATTTTCATAAAGGCTCATGTGGTACTTCAGTGTCATTATGGACTTATCATGCTGCATAGCCTGTTTTTAAGCTCTAGGAGCTTGGAAATACATTGACATTTTCGTTTAGATGCAGTGAGCACATGTATTCTTAGCCTTTCACAATATCCCATAATAGATCAACCATCCACTTCCACTCAAACAGTGCATTTCGGGTGGCATCTGTTTGACACCTTCTGGGCACCCGTAGTGGAAGATTTCCTCAGATTTCACAAGACATAGCACATCAGCAATGAACTAACAAAGTTGCTAAAATTAAAATGATCAATGTAATAAAAATACAAGAACTATTACCCCTCAGAAATCGTTGAGAGCTGTATAGTGAACTGCAGGGTTTTAATGACTGTGCACGTTAAGATACCTAAAGATTAAGCATTTTACAAGGTAAGCCGTATTACTGAATATTACAGGCTTTGTCAAATTTTACATGACACATTCATGTCTCTCGTTTGTCCATAAATTAAACTTTAGCATTCACTGAGATAGTTCTGAATATATTTCTGTCCAAGTGTGACCTCTGCAAAATCTTGCATTCAAGTTCGCATAAAAACATCGAAGTATGGATATCCAATAATGTCAAATATAGATTAGCTTACTTGACTATTTATTAATTTCATCTTTTTAGACTTCCTGAATTCACTGAATCTGAAAAACAGAGAATTAAAGGAACATATGACTATATGGGATTTAATCACTACACCACAGTCTTGGCTTTTAATGTCAATTTTGGAAATGCTATCCCAATGTATGATGCCGACAGGTAACAGTTTTAATAAAGAAAATAGTAAATTTATCAGACTTAAAAATGTTAGTCAGACTATTGAGAGTTCACAAAACATTACATTCTTCACCGTAATTCCTATCCTCTGTCGTCCAGCTCCACGGAATTTACCTTATATGGTTTCCTCTGTATAATCCAAATCCATCCAGGACATCTTCAGCAATGTCTTCTTGTATTGACCCCATAATTTCACCCCTATGGCCCACATGATCCATTGGTCCTCATCTCCTCTTTATCCACACTTAATCTGTACTTTGTCACACATCACTGTGGCTGTCAAATGTATGCTGGTGGCCATACCTTTACTCCTCCATCACTCACTGTGGTGTTTGAACTATTTCTTGTCTTGCATATCAAACTGTTTGTCTAACATCAAGTCCTCAATGAACCATGATTTCCTCCAGTGCTACAGAAAGTAGACCAACATTGTGAGCAATAGCATCATCATAAACTCCACTCACTTGTTACTACTTCCATCCTTGCCAAGCTTAGGTCTTGGCTTCAACCAAACTAGCCATAATCTTGTTGTCATCTTAGGCTCATTGATTCAACTTATTGCCTCCCACCAATGCATTTAAGATTTATCTAGTTATTTTTAAAGCCTACCACAGACTCTCCCCACCCTATTTCTGTAGCCTGTTCTAAACTTATTTTCCTCAACGCTGTATTCACCTGACTCGGTCCCTTTGAGTTTCCCTTCGCTTCGGGTCTCCATGTGTGTTGACGTCACAATATTCAACCATGAAACTGTTTTTTGTAAAGCTTTTCCTAAACCTCCCTGATTTTACAATTCTCTTTCTATTTTTCAAAACTCCAAATAACCCTATGATTGAGCCTTTGGTCACTGACCACTCCTAATTCTCATGTTGGCTTGACTTTAACTTCTCCCATTCCTATTTGAAAAGCACTATATTCTTCAGATTAAAAGCACTGCATAAATGCACATAATCAGATAAATCCACTAATCTATTGGCAAGCAATGCACCAACATTTTGGATTGAGGTTTAATTAGTTTGCTGGTGTAACTGTAGCTGGTGGAAATTCTTAAGAAACAATATAAATGGTGATTAATAGTATGCTTCATTTGCAAAAAAAGTTAGTATTTATTATAGATTTTGTCCAGAATACAATACAGGAACATTTATAAAAATTTTGGGTAATTTCAATTTACTAGAATCACAATTAATGGAGCAGTTACAACCTCAAAATACAGCTGGCAGACATATAGCTCTATTAGCAGCAACAATCCAATCAGTGTTAGAGTCACCATCTAAAGGATGGTCAAAATGTTTCAGGGAGTGGCTCCTTTTAAGATGCAAATCATAGTCTTCCGATAGAGACAGGATCCTCAATTGCAATTTTAGGACAGATTGCTTGAAACATGCTTTGTTTTGGACAGGTTTTACTTGCAATTCGGTCAAAGAATACATGAAATGCTAAATTTGAAATAATTTTTATGGTATGCATATCCAACACCTCTGTCATCAGTATTTGTGGCAGCTCTCAGTACTAAGCTTGCAGCCAGCCCAGTGCCCATTAGACTCCCTGATAATTGTTCAGGGTTAAGCAGACAAACTGCATCATGACACCTCTTTGATGCCTGTATTTTGCTGCTACTATTTATATGAAGCCAGGTCCTCAAAATGACTCCAACATGTTAATCCCTGTATTGGGCAGGGCTGGATGAAAACGTTAAAACTGAGGCCTATTAAATCTTCAGCACTCATTATAAATATAGTAGAAAATCTGTCGAAGATACTTCAATTCCAACAAAACTCAGGACAGCTGTGTTTTGAGTAATTCATTCTTTATTTCCAGAGGAACAGGAACCACAGTAGACCGCAGCTGGCTTAGTTCTGGATCGTTCTGGCTGAAAGTAACTCCTTGGGGTTTTAGGAGAATTCTTAACTGGATTAAGAAAGAGTTCAACAACCCTCCTATTTATCTAACAGAAAATGGAATTTCAGAGCATGGTGACAAAGGCCTCAATGATACCTGGAGGATCAATTATCATAAAAATTATATAAATGAAGTTTTAAAAGGTAGAGTACATTGTGACTATCATTCTTACTTGTCAGTTAATTTTGTGGAATCCTTACACATACATATAGGCAACTAAAGGAAAATGGTCTTTGTTATACATCAACCCAATCAGTTTACCATTGTAAATATTTAACAACACAGACACCTCTTGTTTCTCTCGGTTGTGTTGTTTCTTTTACACCCCATTACACCCAAAAATGGGCAAACCAGTAAAAAAAATCACATAATTTTCAAGGCAAAAGTGTTTATTTTTGTTACAGGGACGAAGTCTGGATGCAAATACATGTCATCTCCCCCTCTCTCAAAAGGACAACTTATTGATCCAATAGGTTCAAATATGGTGTTTAAAAATAGGAACTCAATTTAAATCTAACCCACACTAATGGCATTGCATTCCAACCAGGAAGTTGTAGTCAACGTGATGAAAACCTAATTAGGAACATTAGAAGTAGGAACAAGAGTAGGCCATTCAGCTCCTTGAACCTGTTCCACCATTCAAAAAGGACATGGCTGATCTGTGATTTAGCGCCATATGCCTGTCCTTGGCCCATATTCCTTAATATCTTTGCTTAATGAAAATTTATCTATCTTAGATTTAAAATGAACATATGTTCCTGCATCCACTGCTATTTGTGAATGACAGTTCCAAACCTGTACCATCCTTTGAGACATCTCTCATTTCCTAACATCTCTCCTGAGTGATAAAGCCCTAATTCTCAGACTATGCCCTCAGGTCTAGAATCCCCAACCAGCCACGGTAGTTTATCTTTACCTACCTTGTCTTTTTCTGTTAATATCTTGAAGACAATAATCAGGTCACTCCTTGTCATTCTTATGGCCACCAAAGTTTATAATTACTTTATACTTCCAACAATATTACTGTAGGGTGGCACAGTGGCTCAGTGGTTAGCACTGCTGCCTCACAGTGCCAGGGACCCGGGTTCGATTCCACCCTCGGGGGACTGTCTGTGTGGCGTTTGCACATTCTCCCTGTGTCTGTGTGGGTTTCCTCTGGGTACTCCGGTTTCCTCCCACAGTCCAAAGATGTGCATGAAAGGTCAATTGGCCATGCTAAATTGCCCGTAGTGTTCAAGGATGTGTAGATTATGTGGGTTACAGTGGGGTGGGTCTGGGTGGGATGCTTTGAGGTTCGTGTGGACTGGTTGGGCCGAAGGGCCTATTTCCACACTGTAGGGATTCTATGATTCTGTGATTAACTTTCTGAATTCTGAGAAAACAGACCTAATTTGTATAATCTCTCTTCATAACTCCTGAAGTCCAGGTATCATTCTTGTAAACCTACATTGTACTCTCTCCAAGAAAAATATATCCTTCCAAAGGTGAAGTGCCCAGATCTGCTTATAGTACTCCAAGTGAGGTCTAACCAGGATTTTGTGCAATTGCAGCATAACTTCTACATCCTTGTACTCCAGTAGTACAAGGATGTACTCCAATGTTGTAGACCAACATTGTCAGCAATAGTATCATCATAAACTCCACTCACTTGTTACTACTTCCATCCTTGTCATTCGGTCACACCAATTATTCCAGCCCCTTCTCTAAGCCTACCACCAAGTTCCATTTATTCCATCTCAACACCTTCCTTGGACCTACCTTTGAGTAGCTGCCAGCAAGGCAAGTCGGTGAAAGTTTGTATTTGCAATGCTCAAGCTACCTCTACTGAACTCACAGGGAAACCAGTCAAACATTTATTCCCACCCTTACACCTTCCAAGATTTAAGTATAAAATACCAATCTGTATCCCATGTCCCATTTAGCGGCTTGTAACTAGAAGCTTTTGTGGCAGTTGTTGTGTCATTTGTTTATAATTTGTTTTATTAACAATGTGGTGAAATTCAGACTAACTATTTTCTTTTCTGTACGTGCATTCAGCTATTAAACTTGACGGCATCAACATCCGTGGCTACACAGCATGGTCACTGATGGATAACTTTGAATGGGCCATGGGATATGCAGACAGATTTGGCTTATTTTATGTCAATTACTCCAACCCTTCTTTACCTCGTATTCCTAAAGCTTCAAGTAAATATTATTCTACAATTATTCATTGTAATGGCTTTCCTGATCCTGCTTTGGGACCTCATGAATGTCTCCAATTAGAAGGTAAATGAATAATAGAGTATAGATGTTAATATTTGAAGAACATGTATTTTAATGAAATGTTTTGACCAAATATATTTCTTAGCCTACCTTCGTATTTTTTGTCATCATTTAGCCACTTTGTTCTGAGAGTTACTTCACAGTATGTATACAGGAATTACACAAACTGAAACATTTTACTCATGTTTATTGTAAAGCAGAAGTTGCTCTGTCGAGGTGAGAATTGAGTACATAGTTCCTGGAAAGGTTTTTGGATGGAACCATGAACAGTGCTAGGTTGTACCTAAATTACATAGGAACATAGGAATAGGCCATTCAGCCCTTCAATCCTGTTCCACCATTCATTGAGATGAATAGAGACAAACTGTTGATCTGTAGCACTGTATTCACTCATTTTAATGAACACAGATGTTATATGCATTTTCTAATGTTCTTGGTGACATAGGCAAGGATAAATTTCTTGTTTACCTTTTGTTTTCTTTGAAGGTGTTGAGCCTTGTCATTATGTTGCTGTTGTCCTTGTGATGATACTATTCTGACAGGAAGCTAAAATATTGATTTGTGAGACCATTCAGTAAAGTCATGGCAAGCTATTACCTCAACTTTTCTCTACTGATATTTTCAAAGTGTAGAACGTTCTAGGATTTTGTCTCATGATGGTAAAGGAGCAGTAAATATGCTCATATCAGGCGTGGAGAGGAATTTGGAAACTATGGCACTCCTGCAACACCATTGATGTCCTTCTCGGTGGTAGAGGTTGCAGGAATAGTAAGTTTGAGCTGTGGCCTTGTGGATCATACATTCTGCAGACAAACTATACCAATTACAAAGGCAGTAGGACCTGAGTCTAGTGGCAAAGGCGCTGAAGAGCAAATTGTTTTACCTTGGAAAATATTGGCCTTCCTGATTTTAGTTGTAGGCATAGGCATGTAACTTAGCCTTATGATTGAGGGATTGGGAGGTGAACCACTTCATGTAAAGTATACAGTTTCTGATCTGAATGATTAGCAAAGTATTGCTGAAATAAAAACAGTAAGTGCTGGAGAAACTCAGTAGATCTGGCAACATCTGGGAGAGATAAACAAGAGCTAACATTTCGAACCCAGTAGGAATCTTCTTCAGAACCTGTTTTAAATTATTCTGAATGCTGCCAGACCTTTTGACTTCCTCCAGCACTTTCTGCTTTTCTTGCAGATTTTCAGCATCTACAGTAATTTATTTTTCTTTCGAGTGCTGATATTGCTTGTCTTGTTTTAGCTTTTGGTTAATATTGATTCTATAATATTGAAGGTGGGACATACAGTGTTTGTTGTACTATTTGAAGGGTGTGGTCTTCTCTTGTGTGAGATGGTCAATATATACCACATGTCAGTTCCAAACTAGGGGATTGTTCAGGTCCTGTCTGCCGTAGGCTGCTTGATGGTGGAGGTGTGAATTGTGTCACAATAATGATAAAATATTGATTTTCAAATTCTACCATTTGATTTGTAAAACTGGACTAAAATGGTTTTCAAAAGACAGAAAAAAGACACTGACTTAATATGGTCACAGCAATCACCTGGTTCCCGATGACCAAGACATGAAACAAATGTCAGATGAACAAAAATAATCTAAACCAAAACTAACACATTATCAAAATGCTCTGAAACTAGTCAACCCTGTCAAAAGTGAAGAAATCCTAGTCTCCTATTTTGGACGGTAATTTTCCAAGATAGCTCGTACAGACTAATGAAATAATGGGAGTGGAGGAAATTGTTCTTTCAAAAGCTAAATTTAAGTTAAAAAGTTTGTATTGGGTTTGTAACACTAAAGTTATATACAACAGAGAATCTCAAATGTGATCATACAATGCAGCTCTGGTGGGGGAGCTACTCCTAACTCAGATTTAACAGCTGAGGTATTCAAATTAGCCTATTTAATCCCTAGATTTGATGAAGAGAAGATAGACATCTTCTTTTTGTCTTTCAAAGGTTGGCACAGCTGTTAGATTGGCCAGTCCAACAATGAACACTAATGTTACAGAGTAAGCAAACTGAAAAAGTTCTTGAAGTTTGTGTCCTGTTGCCTGAGAGTGTAGTTAGTCTGCAAGTATGGTGATTTAAGTTTGTACCAGTAACTGCCAGAGGTGCACCAGCAATCATTCTGTATCATCAGGAAATGGCTTGATCAGACATACCTGGAATTTGAACATTTTAGGCAGCTTGTTTTTGACTGCTGGTTACGATGAGCAATTACAATTGAGGCCACCTACAAAAACCTCCATGAGGAAGTTCTCCTTGAAATGTTCAAGGGTTTGATATCCTTCCTAAGCCAGACTCATGTTGAGGAGCAGAGGGTACTTGCTCTCAAAGAGCCAGAGGGGGAGTTCTGCATCTTACAACAGATCAGTAACATGGAAATTCTCCCTAATCTCCCACATCTGATAGGAAGAGCACGTCACTCTACTGAAGGCCATCTTTGCACATTAACAATCTGCAGACCCAGAAAATAGCAAAGTCTTACTGCTCTAAAAAAACTGCTTCAGGCCGACTTAGTACCTTTGTTTCATATTTTTAAAATTTAATCGAGAGACAGATCTCAATAAAACATATAATCAAAAAGAACCCGTTCTACAACTTATTGTAGATTTACAAAAAAAGAAACAGTAAGGTTACACTTAAAAACTATCCACTTAGCTGCTCTCCTGCTGTGAGCTCTCCCACACAGGATTCTCCTAGGTCAGTGAATTTCACTGTTTGTAATTTTTCTTAAGATAAACTCCAATGTCCAGAGATACTTGAAATCAAACAGCAGACGCAATAGCTGTGCAGATTCACTGCAGAGTTAGACAGCAGTGTAGGTTTCTTTCTCTATTTGAATCACTTCCCAAGTGTCCTCTACCTTTGTCTCTCTTTGTCCTTTTTGAAGTGCCATTGTTTTGATCCTTTTTCCCCAAAGTTCCAAAACAATGCAACAGCTTATAAAACAGTAATTGCTGCTCCTAGAATTCGCGGAAATCAGCTCCAACACTGAAGATACCCCAAAAAAAGGAGCAGTTCATACAGCCACAATTTTTTTCCTGTCCTCCATCTTGGATTACTCAGGGAACTATAGACCAGACAGCCTGACATCGGTGGTGGGCAAGTTGTTGGAGGGAATCCTCAAGGATAGGATTTACATTAATTTGGAAAGGCAAGGACTGATTAGGGATAGTCAACATGGATTTGTGCATGAGAAATCATTTCTCAGTAACATGATTGAGTTTTTTGAAGAAGTAACGAAGAGGATTGATGAGTGCAGAGCGGTGGAAGTGATCTACAGGGACTTTAGTAAGGCATTCAACAACGTTCCTCATGGTAGACTGGTTAGCAAGGTTAGATCACATGGAATACAGGGAGAACCATTTGGATACGGAACTGGCTCAAAGGTAGAAGACAGAGTGTGGCAGTGGCGGGTTGCTTTTCAGACTGGAGGCCTGTGACCACATTCTTGTGGCGGTGTGCCACAAGAATCAGTGCTGAGTCCACTGCTTTTCATCATTTATATAAATGATTTGGATGTGAACATAGGAGATACAGTTATTACATTTGTAAATTACACCAAAATCGGAGGTGTAGTGGACAACGAAGGAGGTTACCTCAGAGTGCAACGGGAACTTGATCAGATGGGCCAATGGGCCGAGGATTGGTAGATGGAGTTTAATTTAGATAAATGTGTGGTGCTGCATTATGGAAAGACAAATCAGAGCAGGACTTATACAAAAACAGAAGTTGCCAGAAAAGCTCAGCAGGTCTGGCAGCATCTTTAAAGAGAAATCAAAGTTCGATTGATTTGATTAAATCCGCAGTTCTTTTGGTTTTTATTCAGGACTTATACACTTTATGGTAAGGTCCTGGGGAGTGTTGCTGAACAAAGCGACATTGGAGTGCAAGTTAATAGTTCCTTGAAAGTGGATACACAGGTAGATAGGACAGTGAAGAGGATGTTTGGTATGCTATCCTGTCTTGGTCAGTGCATTGAGTATAGCAATTGGGAGGTTATGTTGGGGCTGTACAAAACGATGGTTAGGCCACTTTTCAAATGCTGTGTGCAATTCTGGTCTCCTTGCTATAGGAAGGATGTTGTGAAACTTGAAAGGGTTCAGAAAAGATTTACAAGGATATTGCTAGCTTTAGGGAGAGTCTGAATAGGTTGGGGCTATTTTCCTTGCAGCGTCAGAGGCTGAGGGGTAACATAATAGAGGTTTATAAAATCATGAGGGGCATGGATAAGGTGAATAGGCAAGGTCTTTTCCCTGGTGCGGGAGAATCTAAAACTAGAGGGCATAGGTTTAAGGTGTGAGGGGAAAAATTTAAATGGGACCTAAAGGGCAACTTTTTCATATAGAGGGTGGTGCACGTATGAAATGAACTGCCAGAGGAAATGGTGAAGACTGGTACAATCATAACATTTAAAAGGTATCTGGACGGATATGTGAATAGGAAGGGTTTATAGGGATATGCGCCAAATGCTGGCAAATGGGACTAGGTTAATTTAGGATATCTGGTCAGCATGGACGAGTTGGATCGAAGAGTCTATTTCCGTGCTGTACATCTCTATGATTCTATAACTCTATAACAGATGCTCACAAATCTAGCTAGAGGGGAAAATGAAAGATTGTTGATTTGAAGAAGTTCCAGGTGCTGACAAAACGTGCTTATAGGAAAGAGAATGGTGGTGCCTACTGCCACAAGTCAGAAGCTTGCTGATGCCAGGGATAAATATTTTATTGTGGAATGACCTTGCCAACAGTAAGATCAACCCTCAAAAAGAAGCTCAAAGAAAGCCGGTGGGATGCAGTTGAGACTCCAGTAACCAAGAGTGGTTCAGAAATCCTACAGAGGGCATAGAAGTGTTGAAGTAGTTCACGATGGATAACAAATTAAACATGGCAGAAATCCAGGTCACAGTGTCAGAAAGGGTCCTGAAGGTTTAAAAAAAAACATTGTAGCTAATGGCAATAAAAGGCAAGAAAAGGCCAGGGA